AATAAGTCAAAACAAGTCATAATAATGTTAAAATAATTTTATCTTTGTGTCAAGTTGAAATTTGAAAAAGAGAAGAAGTACATAAGTCTACACATGTACACAATGCTAACAATATGTAAGTAAAATATATAACAAGACAAAATAAACAAGATTCACATACAAAATATTCAATAAAAACAATGGAATTTCTAAACAAAAATACAAATTGCACGTGAAATAGTTTCACTTATATATATTAATACACAAGACTTAAGTTGAAAAAAAACTCCATTCATAAAAAAAGTTCTGTGGAGATTCGTGAAGAAAGAATATGTAATTGTGCCCTTCAGTATAAAATTCAATCCTATAAATTATTCCATAATTAAATGAAAATAGGAGAATAATGCACTCATTCTGTTGGCCAATTAAATGCTTGGCTTTGTGATGAGGTAAAATATCTTTAAGCTGAAACACATTGACCACTTGCAAAAGTGTTTGGCAGTTTTCAATATTATAACCTTAAAGTTGAAAAAACACAAACAATGAATGATTACAACCTAGCAGCTTTTTTTTCTTGTGCCCCACCCCATCCACACTTCCCCCTCCTCTAATATCTCCTTCAAAAATATTAAGTAAATAGGCTGGCTTTTCTTCATTCTTATTACTGAAATCAAAGTACTACTGTTCACTGTTTATTAGAACAAAAGATTTTTTTTTTCATGAGAATTTTCTCTGATATATAAAATTGTTACTATTTGAACAATATGAGGAATTAAAGAGCGTTGTTCAAACAGAAAAACATTTTATCAAAAGAAATTAATTAGGGAATACGTACAGTCATGTTTAAAATTTATTATACTACCCATCAAAGATGTTTTAAATTAGAAAGAATCATTTTTTTTATTTACCCAAAAAGTGTAACACTCGCATTAGCGATCTTTACACTTTTTTTTATAACGAAATGGGGTAATAGAAATAACAGGAGCAATACATGGGGTCGCAAAAATGGGAGATTTTTGAAAAAAGTTTAAAAAAACCCCTATTGGGGTTAGCAACACAAACTTTGGTCGGAAAAATTCAAAATATTGACTTTTAAATAAAATAATGAAAAGAATCACAATTTGTGCCCAGGAGTATAACTATGTAGTTATCAGTGATTTAAAATCTCTTATGTAACACGGCAAGTATATTATGTGTAGAAAAGTAAATGTGTTTTTTTATTATCGTGTGAAAATACTTTTTTTCTCCAATAAATATAGGAATGTAACAAGAAAACAAAAATATATAAAAATTTATATACAGTATCAAGCATATAATGGAAAAGTTCCATGAAAATGAATAAAACATTTTATCCAGCAAGTAAAAACAATGTAATGCATGTTATCTAATAAAGTTAATATTCTATTGCAAAGGACCTTGAAAAGTATTTTCTAGTTTTCATTATCTCTGACTTTCTACAAGTATATATTTTTACATTTTAAATATTACACAAATTATCATAAAAAATATCTTTTACAGAAATTCAAGATGTTTTATTCATTTTCAACAACCTTTCATCATAAATATATAAACATTATAATATTAAACATTAACACAAAGCACAAAATTAATTTTCAAATTTTTTTTCAATTCATTTATACATTTCAAAATTTGATCTACATGTATATTTACTGGCTTCTGTACATACATATTATAACAGATAACTTAACAAGTCATTTGTTTTTGAGAATGTGTAGAACATGATATCAAATATCATAAAAGAAAATTGTATATCTGTCAATGATATAATTATATAGTACATGTCATGTATTGTTCAAAAATGACACATTTTTATGATAATTTTAAATTTAACATTTAGCCTGCTGGGAGCAACTGATTCTACCCATGTGACCAGTACAGACCAGTACAGACCAATATTTGCAGGCATATCTGTACAGTCTGATCATGGTCTGCACTTTTCACTATATACATAATATTTGAAATTTTCCCCTAAAAATGATGAATGGTTTCATCCAGATTGAATGATGGACAAGTCCATTTTAGATATTTAGTGTGGTAATGTTAACACACCTTCACACTGATGCAATAAATTGTATAATCACAATGCTATATAAAAATCTGTCTGAAATAGTGTACAACAAACTTTTTTTCTTTTTTAATTTTTAGCCTCTTTTTCAGAACTTTGAGGTTCATGTAATGTTTTACTTAAATCAAATTTATTGTGACACTAATATGTAATCACTTCACTGCAGCATGTATGAAGTTACAAAGAACTGGTGTGCTTTACTTTAAGTAGTAACATATATAAATAAAATTGACCTTCAGCTTCATTTCCAGTAACATTTTCCAATCAGCCATACAATTCCACAAGTCTTAGCTTCCCCAAACATTATCCCAACAGATCAATCTCAACAATGTGTATATGGTGATCTTTAAAAATTAATTTTGTTATTTTTTCTTGCAAACAACAGTAACTCAAAATAAAGACATTTATCAAAAGAGTAAAAATCATAATTTTAAGTCTGTGACCTTATGATTTTTCTTCTGAAGATACTCTCGCAAAATGTGTTAATGAAAAGCAAAAATTTAAATAAAATTAATTACTTGTTTCGCTGATATACATGTATTTATATTTAATCCCAAAGCATAAAAATATACATTTCTATAAAAAAATTTTTAAAATATGAAGAATACAAAAAATTTCCCCAAAGCAGTACCAAAAAATATACTCCATATTTTTTCTTTTAACTGTGATCACAGAAATTTTCCAAATAATGCCCCTCAAGTTTTTTTAATCCAAACGTTTAAATTTATACTATAATTTGACATGATCCCCCAGTTTTCACTATATCAATTCCCAAAATACATCTCCTAAATCCATACAGAATTTTTGTTTAAAAAAAACAGTATTCAAAAAAAAATTATTTTTTTTACTTTTTACTTAAGTTTTTACATAAATATAGAAAATTTTCCAAAAATTTTGACATTTAAAAATTATCTATTTTTTTAGTTAAAATATTAAAAGTTAATATATTGTTTATAAAAATAAAAAATTTTTTTTTTAAAATTTTAACAGTAAAAAAAATGTTCTGAATAGCTTTTTCCAATATTATTTTCCCAAAAATTACAGATTTTTTTTTACCCTAGAAAGGTTTAATAACACTGTTTTTCAATATAAACACATTTTTCTTTTTTCAACAGAAAGTTTAAAATGAAAAAGTTTTCAAAAATTATACCCCAATTTTTAAAAAAAAATTCCTTTTTTCTTGGAAATTTTTTTCTTAGACAATTTTATATATTTTTAATTTTCATGACCATTTAACAGATTCATTTTTTATGTTATCACAAAAAAAAAATGCCTTAAAGGGACTTATGCCCCAGAAACCCCTATTTTTCCAAATTTTTTTAAAAAAAAAAAATGTTTAATATTATTTCAATAAATTTGGGGAAACTGTTAGATGTATAACAACTGAAGAAAATTGCGCTCCTAAAGATAACAAAATGTAAAAAAAGTAGCATTTTGGCTACCATACAAAATATTAGTTCTCTATAATTATAACAATTACCAACAGAAAAAAGGTAGGTCATGTATATGGCAAATGAGTACTTTCTGAAAACAGCATCAAGATACCAACAATAAAACCTTTTGAGAAATAAAAGATGACAGCATTTCTGAGAAATAATGAGCCTTTAATCATAATTTCTGGAGTTACCATACTTCTATACCATTAATCATATCACAGATTCTGGAGAAGAAAACATTGGTAATCTCAGATTAAAGGTTTATCATAGCACCATTGTAACCTGCTTATTGTGCAACATTTCACCAGGAACTGACACAAAAGCTTATAAATTAACCTAAAGACAGGCATTTCATGAAAAGTAAACCCATATCTTTGTGTTCCATATACTTGGTAATTGTATATTACAATACAAAATTTTATCTTTATGACAATAATTATAATTTAAATACAGTGAGTGACTGAATACACCTTACAACCTTATTTATAACAAGAGCTGTCAGTAGAACACCACTTATCTTTTCTCAGTGTTTGAATGTAAACCAGGGGCATGGATAATGTAGAATATTTTTAAGTTAAAAAAGGACCATAATTCAAAATCCAGGTTAAAGTTATGGGCCTTGAAATGTGACTTCCCATTGTGCCCTAAAATAAGTGTGTGACATTTCAACTCATTCCCTTCAGTTACAGTTTTGGAGATACTAACTTACATGAAAAAAAAATCAAAGTGTGACACCGAAGCCAACGTCTGGGTGAGTACAATAGCTTTCTCTATTTTCTGAATAGTTAAGCTCACAGCATGTCATCACAAAAATGGTGATTGAGTAACAATCTTGTTTTATAAGATGCAAAAATACTTAAAAAACATTTTCATAGACAAGCATGAATGAATGCTTGACATATACATGTATACAGACAAAAGATATGTTACAATGGTGCTGCGATAAATCAATAAAAAATCTTTTTCTACCTTAATGTACTCATCTACACTTCAAACAAACTACAACTTAACTATATGAAATGAACATGCAATTTTACTAAATAAGAAAAAAGAAAAGAAACAGTGAGGAAATATATTTTTTTGGATCCCTGTTTTTAAAAAGAACTTTTAGAAGTCCAATGTTTTTAATGTTCCCATTACCACTTTTGAAAAAGCCACAAAGATAAGTGCATTTTCATGAAAAAATGACAACAGATCTACATGTATTTACATACAAAAAGGATCATGTGCCCCCTCTCTTCTAACCCCTAAAAACCAACCCCCCCCCGCTATTACCCCGAAAGACCAATCCCCTTTTTCTTAACCCTCACATACCCGTCCCTTCCCCCCCTTACCCCCCAAAGCAAGTCCCTCCCCCCAACCCCCCTTTAAAAAAACCCCCTTTCCCCCCTAATCCCCTTAATACCCAAACCCCCCCCCCTTAAGCAAAATGAAAAAATTTTTAAAAAACAAAAACAAGATGTCCTTAAACTTTTTAACTTTTACATTGTTTCATCTAAAATCACTTCTGACATTTGCAATACAAAATTGCTCTTTAAGTATTTCAAATTATTCTCTTCAAACAAAAAATACCTGCACTTCTCTCAAGATCTTTCCCATACTGAATACTGCTGGCAATTAAAGCTAGATATCATAAAAAATAAAAATTACACAACCTTCTTAAATCCAGAAAAAATGTTTCCTGATACACACTAACCAATGCACAATAAAACATTACAAGATTTAACACATTGCCTGGCAGGTATAAAATACAATCTCATTACTGTTCATATTGTATCTATAATGTCTAGACAATTAATAAAAAAACATTTTCTTCATGCTAGCTTTTAATATGTATCAAGATTGTTTAATACAGATACTCTCAAGGCATAAACCAGCATGACAAATCATTGATAGAATAAATCGTGAACATATTCTCTTGTTCTAAGCAAGTCTGCCTTCAATTCTATTTTGTTTATAATCATACCAATTAAAATGACGTTAACTATTTTCTTTGATTAGGATTAAAATCCCATTATCAAAGGTTGTGTTTATACCAGAAGACATTTACAAGGGTAGTAGACCTGGTGCCTTTCTGTGAAGTATATCAGACAAAATCAGAAATCTTGGGTTTAACCATTAATTTTCCTGAAGCTTTATTATATTTTCAAATGCAAAAAAATGAAGGAAAAAAAACCCGCAACTTGAAGAGATGCTAACCTACAGTCATGACAGTCAAGTAGTCAGTATTTTACCTTGACAACTCAGTTGAAGAAACCAACTCAATGGATATATATTTATATATAATTATATAGGAGTTAAGTTCTAAAACTGAATACTTCTTTTCCTTAATATATTTTGAATAACATAATTTAGAATATATGGTGGCTTTTAAAAAGCTAAGGAAATATGTATGGTTATACAACATTGTGGGGAGATAAGCCTGAGCTACGGGTACCATAGGCATAGCCAGAACATGGGGAGGGGGGGTGTGAGGGGACGGGATTGGGGGTGGGGTGGTTGTTAAGTTAAAGGGGAGATCAGTCAATAAGAATAACAATCTCCCAATTCTAAAATAAAGATTATATATATATTATGCATAAAGTTGTAAGTGCAGACATTGTCCAGGAGCTTCAATTATGCTAAGACTTCTCTAACATAATCATTATTGAAGCATTGTCTCACAAATTTTATAATACAATCATGTATATTATACACTTTAAAGCTACAACAATTGAAACTTACAAAAATCACTATTATAGAATTTGAAATGCACAACTACATTGGGATATTATAATAAAATATTAAAGAATTGATCAACATTTGCAAAACAAAGAATATTATACAAAATGAACTAAACAAAACTTAAATATACAAGATTCACACACAAAAAAACCCTGAACAATAGATAAAAGAAATGCGGATAAATATACAACATAAACAGGAAAATATAGAAATTACTAAGTCTTGAGTTTTCCTATATGAAAGTACTTCACTATAAAACTGTTATCCTTTAATTCAGTTAACATGAAACATTAAGTTTAACTGTTTAAGGTTCAGTAAAAATAATCATATCATGGAAAAGTTATTTCATGCACAATGTCATAGCTAATTTCAACACTACATATTTAATCTTCAGCAAAATCATCAAAGAAAGAAAGCATGTGTAATGCCTAGTAATTAACACAATAAATCAATGGTCCTTACAGCCAGACTTCTCCCTATTGCAAGTAATACACTGGCTTGTGTTTCTTTAAGCTATCAATGATAAAAAAATAAATGTTTCAATAGAAAAAAATGATGCATTAATTAACTGTAAAAAGTTAAGGATTACATAACTTTGATTCATATATATTTAATAATCTAAACCAATTAACTAGTAAAGTAAAAATGATATTTTGATATCAAAATATATCTTTTTGTCCACGGCAAATCTTAACTGTCACAAGCAAATTTGGTCCCAGGATTGCTGTGACAGTTATGTAAAATATAAAGATATTATAATAAATTGATTTATCACAGATTTCTTTTCTCATGCTTACACCTAGCTGTTACTGTTACTATGACAATATAAATCTCTTTATCTCTTTATCTACCAGGAGAAATTAACTTGCTTATTTGAAGCTGTAAATTTCTTGTTTAAGTTATGATGGTATAATATAAACCCTTACATGTTCCAGGATACCATCCATATAGGAACTGCCTTCATTAACAAATATACACCTTTGAATAAAATGTACACCAATGACATATTTGATTCCTGAAAACCATTTGTCATTCAAGATATGTAGTTCTATCCAAAAAAAAATAATGTACAGTATGATATGTATATGAAGATGACAAGCTGTGACAGAATGTTTAAGAATCCTTACTATATCAAGTTTGACTTTCAGGTCAAATGATTACACAATTGACCTTTTCATACAATTACACTAGATATAAAAAAATATTTCCAAGAATTAGAAAAAAATGTTTTTTTTAATATATTTTCAGCAACATGCAGAATATCCGTTTCTTTAAGGATTGCCAACTTCACTTCACGGAAAAACCATCAAGGCTGACATCTTTTAGAAAATGTAAGAAATTGTTTGGGTTTTCTTCAAGTGCATGTTTTAGTTGTGTAGAAAATATCTGGATTCTCATTATTATCCAAATGGCAGCCAGTAAGAAAATAAATAATTCACAAGTGTTTTCATACAGATTCTTATAATACCAAAATCTTTGCATGAAGATTTGATGAACATCTAAAAAAAAAATCAATTACACTTTGAGAGTTCACCTATAAATTTACAATCAATTTGAAATTGAATTCTGCATCTTAATTATTAGATAGAGGAAGAAATTTTAAAACAAATTAGATGGCTTATTCTTTCAGATAAATAATCTCATTAAAATACAGCAGATATTGCATCATAAATATCAATTAACCTTTCCAAACACAATAGCTGTCCTTAAGACAGTACACTTGACTTTTCTCAGCGCATGACAGTGAAAAGGAGGTATAACTCTGCAAAAAGGTATGGGACCAATGTTAACCATGTTAGTTTATTACAGGAAACAAGTTTATGAAGTTTCAACCCATTCCCTTCAGTAGTTTTGGAGACACCAACTTGCATAAACAATTTTTGCCAAACAGTGACAGCGACACTGATGCTGACATCAATGTCAGAGTTCAGAAAGTCAAACAAAAAATATCATCGAATTTCATATGGCCAATCAAAATAGGTATTCCTACACAATATATCCGATAATCTAATAGCATTTTTTAATTTCTTTTTTTTACTTTCAATCTTGCATTCAACATTACAGTCTGGTCCAAAATGAAGCAATATAGAGGCAGGCATGATTATTACACCAGTGTGCAACATGTCACTATCATTATTATTGTTAACGCCAAAATTGTTATATCCAATATGTAAAGTCAATAAATGGAAGACAGTACAATATCATCAGTTATAGAACTTTGTTCAGTACAATATGTGTATTAAACTTCATGCACGCCAATATAAAGTTCCTTACTATAGCATTCACCTGGATATAATTTAGGATGACAGGCTTAAGTTCAGAGAAATTCAGTTACAAGTTTGAAACTTTTTCAAGTAATGAAATGCACAATTATCATAAATTATTTTTTCCCATCAAATTAAAGGCATATTATGCCTCAGAAACAAGTAGATACTTTAATCTTTAGTATGGGCAAACAAGAGTTTTATATCATTTAAATAACGGTGTTAGAGCAGGTTAGATGCTTGTCACCTGAAGAAAAAGCGTTGAATTTGACATTATTTGTCATAAAGGTAGCAAAATGTAAACAAGGAAGTAATTTAGCTTCCATACAAAAAGCTCAATCACTATTACTGTACCTATTGCCAAAAAGCAAACAATGCAAAAGATGGTTCAAATTACTGGCAAATCAGTTACTGTTTGGAACCTACAACTGGATATCAAAATTAAAAAGAAAACCTTTTATTAAAATGAAAATACAAGCATTTCTGGGGAATAATTGGCCTTTGATTACTTATAAATAGTAATAACAATAACAAGAAACTGAAACACAGAAAGACTAAAATGTAACTTATGCTGAAAATGAACAACACTATGATTATTTTGTCATCAAAGGCCTTTTTTCATATAACTAATACTTACTAGTTTTCAGAAACTATTCCATTTCTAATGATAATATATAATATATTTTAAACTTGTCAAAAGACTTTTTGATTTACTATTTTCTATAATTAATCAATTATAATAATGGCAGTATTACAACCGAGGTAAAAAAATTAATCAAAGCATAAAATTTAAACAATGATTTTCTTAAATGTGGGTTTTTCCCAGCTAATCCGTAGGTACAAACTTTTTTATAGCTTCACCGTGTACTACCGGTCACAATAGATAAGTCAACCTGTTGCGCTTATTTTCGAAGCTGTAACTGTAAACTTTGTTTGTACAAACAGATAAGCTGGGAAAAACCCAATTATTCTTTATTCTTGAGTTAGCCTTTTAATGGAATATTATTCTATATATACTATAGCATTGATCATTTCTATTTCTTTGGGCTCTTATAATTAACAACATTATTTCAAAATAATTGTGACGTTTTCTATTAAAAGGTTTTAGCAAAAATATCATTTTTAGTAAATAATGCACAAATATGTGCCATAAAAATCATTATTTGTACAGATATGTTTGTTCAACATCATATACTTTTGAAACATCTATGTACATAGGTAAGCTTCATGCTTACTTTAAGTCATATTATAGAAGTACAACATGGCTATGCCAAACTTACATTTTAACGAAAAAGTTCAAAGATTCCATTCTTTTTGGAAACCAATAAAATGGAAAAAAAACTTATGGAAAACATAACAGGAAAATTATTAGAATTCCTTAAATATTATAAGTTTTCCATAATTATATCTGTGTATATTTTGAGAATAACACTGGAATCAATCAGAACTTAATCTTTTTTTATAATGTTAAACTTAATACAAACATGTATAATGTAATTTTGCTTAAATACTAATAAGATAATAAACAATTTTTGTCAACAAATCTGTCAGAACCTTTATTCCATTTTACTTTCAAATAAATGAACAAATATTTGCAGTAAACCACTAAAGCATTAATTGTTAAGTTGAATCAGTGGATTCCAAAAATAGCCAAATGAAAATAGAGTCCCAACAATTCTAGGTAAATTTGAACCTCAAAGTGAGACACTATGTTTGTCATAGTTGCACAAATTTGTTTTCAAGCGATCGTTCTACACTTCATAGTATAAATATTACAAATTCTAATGACATTGACACAACACTGCCCCACTAAGCACATGTATAAAATTGACACTCCTATAAACCATTGACAAAATAAGAATGCTGTGTTACATGGTAACTTATTTACTCACATACTATATTTGATAACACTATTCAACAATGTTTAACTGAAAGCTATAAACTGCACTAAAAAATTTCGAAACAAATTTAGATAAAAATATTGAAAAACAACAACAAAAAATATTTACCATTTTGAAATTCTGATATCATTTCTTTCTATCAAGCTCAAACATTCCATTCTAATGCTACACAAATTTAAGAGGATGAAAAAAGTATTAAAGAAAATAAGTTAACGGATTTTTGGAAATGAAACAACAAAATTCCTCAAAAAGAAATTAAAACCTTCATAACCCACAAACACTCTATTATGCTTGAATTAAGGATAAATATATGATATTAAATCATCACATTTGACGTAACCATTTATATCTATAGGCTTAGTTACATTTGTGCCACTTTAAATCATAGGTCCATCCCTTTGAGCCCCCACAGGACAAAAATGAAAGTGTTACTTTTTTAGCTAAATATACTCTATACAAAACAATATATCCTCTGCATCTCAAACAAATTTTGATTACACATGAAATAACCACTTAAATGTTAAACACTGACAACTTACATTAATTATTTCGTACTAAATATAAAATAGACGTTAAAAATACATGAAATTTCCCTTTTACAAACTTTGCATACAGAGAAATGCATCAAATAATGCATACTAATTTCTGATCAAAGATATAAATTTCTCTCATAAAACAGGATCCTTTTCAACAATTATTTCTCTTGATAACACTGCAACCAGTCTAAATTTTAAATCAGACTTGTTCTAAACCATGAACAAGAAACTTCCCTGGATACAATCTGAACTCGGCTGACTGCGTCCCTAAAATTTTTGATCTTTCATAGGCAAATGACATACAAATCTCAATACAGTCCAACTATTCATGGAACTTTTTGTGGTTCTGATCCTCTTTATGCATCGCCAATTTTCTCATTTGCCTGATGACGGCTGTGGCATTGAAAGCTCTCTTCCATTTACTTTTGATGAAATTCTTCTGCATCTGAGCACTAACAGAGGCGTGGATATCTTTGTCAAGGGCTGTGTTACCAGATATCCTACAACAGAAGGATTTATAATTACACTATGTTACTTTAATACAATGATAGTGAATATACTTCTTAAGCAGATTGAATCACTCAGTAAAAAGGCAATAAAAAGTTCAATAGTCAGATACTCGGTGCCTTTACCACACATTATTAAAAAATACCTGGACCAGTCTTTTGTATGAGTTTTCCCCCTCATTCAGATCACACAAAGTGTCCTGGTAAAGGCACTGTGTGATAGTATCCTAATATGAAAAAATTCAAGAATGCTCAAAAACTTCAAATATACAGTGGTTATAGGCAAAAGGATCAAAACCAACAACACTACCTACGAGGGTTGATCAATAAATTCGTGGACACACTCCATAAATTGTTTTTTTGGGGAAGGAAAGTTAATATAATTATATTTGACATTTATTCAATTATTTATCAATTGGATGTGTAAGTTACAGATAAATAATCCATATATTTTATCCGAAATGACAGTTTTCAGAAATACATGTAAAGCTGATCGCCGCAGCTCATTCGCAACTTACGTTACGTCGTGACGTCTGCGTAACATCTTCTCACCAACTTCTACACATCGTTCATGCCTGTGTACCCACCGACTGAAAATGTTCTTATGCAATAAAGTATCAAATGAAGGCAACACAGACAATGCTATGGACTGTAAATCATGGAACCCGGTTAACTTGTGACCCTTTAACTCTGCCTTCAATTTCACTCGCATAACGTTCGCATAGCAACAAGTTTCAATAGGTCTGCCGCATCTCTTATCATCCTGAAGTTCTTCTCTACCCACACAGAAGTGTATGTGTCACTTATAAACTAACGAATAAGACACTTTTTGTTCCAGATACAATTTCCATGTTTTCTTTAGTTTGCTTTGGGGTCATACCAAGATTTACACAGAACTTAATTACTGCTCTCTGCTCCAACAACGTCGTACTCCTCTCTGGTGGCACACCCCTGTCTCCATTAACATCTCCAACAAACAAAAGAAATCGTAGCGACGCTTGTTTTTTTAAATGTTCTATAAACGATATGAAAGAACGTTGCCGTCATTTCCATATTTTAAAGAAGCACGCCAAAATAAGAACAATTTTTAAGTATTTCAAAATGGCAAATATAACTTTTTTTGAGCTGCGGCGGTTGTACGATATAGGGTTGCTATGGCGATACATATAATGAACAAAATGAGATTTGTTTTAAAAAAATCACAATATATATAAAAAGTATTACATTCTTCTCCTAAATAGCAAAAAATCTTTATAATATCTTGATCAATTATTAAATTATTAATAGTGTCCATGAATATATTGATCAACCCTCGTATATGCAGCCACAGATTCCTTTTTTCTGAACAAACATAGATGAATAACTTGAATTAAATCTTTCTAAGTACCTGGTCAAATCACATCTGATTCAAAGGGTATCAATTAACTACCAAAAATTAATATACTCTTGTCAATATCATAAAGTTATGCCTGAATGCTGCATAAAACCTTATTAAATACAAAAACACTTACAAAAATTACTCATGTGCCAATAATACAATTCCATGCTTGACTGCACACCTATGCAGTCAGCCCAGTTTTGATACTGTCTGCAGCTGAATTGTATTATTTTGATACGACAGTTCCTGACATTACATCAGGCAATTGTTCTATTAGATAAGACATCAGGGTAACTATATATAGAACAAGGTCTTAGTATTTGTAGAATTATTTCTATATATTCTTTTTGATTGGAATTCACTACTCACTTTTTCAGATTATCACACATGTTTAGTGGTGAAGGAATTCAAAGTGTTTTATTTATGATAAATTCATAATAGCAATTCAGGTTGAACACAACTGTGTAGAACCACTGAACTTCCATCAAGGTTAAATTTTCACTGTGTAGAACCACTGAACTTCCATAACAAGACAGTTTGCTCAAATCAAGTAAGTGACTGACTGTATAGGGAGTAAGGCCAACAACTAGGAGTTGCAAGATTTTGTTTGTTCTCTCTTTTTAACACATATTTTGTCATACCTTTTCAGCTTATCCACCTAAACAGCTTTTCTAGATAATAAACCAGTAATCAACTATTTCTTCACAAGTGACTGACCACTAATCTCACATATTTTCTGAATAGGCATTGAAAGACAAATGAGCCGCGTCATGACAAAACCAACATAATGGGTTTGTGACCAGCATGGATCCAGACCAGCCTGCGCATCCGTGCAGTCTGATCAGGATTCATGCTGTTCGCTGACAAACCCTCTTACAAGTAGAGAAACTGATAGCAAATAGCATGGATCCTGATCAGACTGTGCGGATGCGTAGGCTGGTCTAGATCCATGCTGGTCGCAAACGCATTACGTTGGTTTTGTAGTGACGCGGCTCAAATGACCATAAGACTCGACGTCCAAGATCAATTATCACAAAGGAATTACTCCTCGTCCAAGGATCAAACTAGTGACCCATGAATTACTTATTCAATACTCTACCTATTGATCTAAGCGGGCAAGCGATTTTACAGTAATAATAAAAGATAAGATTGTACAATAACAATACGTACCAAGGGAAAGCGATAGCTTCTTTGCATGTTAATCTTTTCTTTGGATCTTTACACATCAATTTACGAATAAATTCTTTGGCTGTGAGAATAAGAAATAGTAATATGAAGTTATACACATAAAATCAATATCAAATATTGGAAAAATTAACTGTTATACACATAAAAACTATATAAAATATAGGAGAATTGTAACAGTTCTTTACAAATCACTCGTATGCTCTTCATATAACATTGTCATAATTAAGAAAGATAAAAAAAGTGTTTTGTTTTTAAGTCAGACTTTTCGAATACTAAAAAAAAAATTATACTGTATCATAATTTGCAGTTCTTTTTTTAAATATTATAATAGCTAAAAAAAGACCATGTTTAATATAATACCTTAATTTTGTTATAGAATCACTAGACTTCTCTTATCTATTTAAATCACTTTCCATGTTTCATGAAATTTAATATGCTGCCTAAAAGCTGCCTAAAAAAAACTGCTGAGAATTTAAAATATTACCAGAATCAGATATATCATCCCAGTAGGGAGAATCAAACTCAAACTCTGCTTTCAGAATCTGTTGAAACAATGCTGCATCATTTTCATCGTAGAATGGTGGATATCCACATAACCTACAAGATAATAAATTATATCAATTATGGATTCTAACAAGATTACAATTACTTCCTTGAACGGATGGTATATACAGAGTTTAAAGAATAGAATGTAAACATGTTATATGATGTTTACCCTCATTCTGATTTTTGGCTCAACTTTTTGAAGAATATTATTTAATTTTAAGAGAGCTCTTTACTCACCCAAGCTATAGGTTCAGCATTGGCTGGCCATATAGGTTAAGTTTTTGAATGTTTTTTTTTTATGTTTTTGAAAGTTCATGTTGTTATCTTCAAAACTACTGAAGGGAATGGGTTGAAACCTTTATGCCCCTTTTCTCACTGTCAAGCTCTGAGAATAGTCATACAGACAGCTTTTGTTTTTAATGGATTGCTTTCATTTTTGGAGCTGTCCCATAATCAACACATATACATGACAGCTTGGCTCTAAACTGGTTATAAAGGCTAATAACCAGGTTTTTATAGTGAATGGGCTTATCACATGTTCACAGAATAAAATTAATTCAAAGGATTTATTATTAATTATAACATCAATTTATCAAAACCAAATCAATTAAATTATTTCTCCCCTGAATGCAGCTCAAAATATTCTGATTAATTCTCTTTCTATGAGCATAACTATATGAATGAAAAAATTCAGATTAATTTATCTTGCATTATGGCATAATATTGTTCATTACATTGTCTGGTTGCTATGTAATTAATCACCCAGGCCTTTTAACTTTTGTGTTTATAAAACTATAGTAGCTGAACTAGAACCATGCAGTGTAATATGACAATGCACTCAATTTCTCTAATTTTCTGAAATCTGTTCTGCAACCAGTGCCACTGCTTCATAATACATGGCCAATTTTACAGCTTCTTGTTTACTGAAAAGTTTGTTCAACATTTAAATTCTATACAATTGAACACAAAGAATTAACATGAGCTTTCTGAGGAGTACACTTTCCTCATTGCTGGATAGTAAATTGCAAATTTCCTCAATAAAGAGTTAATTTGAATAAATTTCAACATATTGAATTTTTTTTATTTTAACCTTGACCTTTTGAACCAAAATGGGTATGATGGGTTGAACTCATCAAAGAGCATCTACATGATTTGCAGTTAAACAGTTTGGAAAAAAGCCTCAACCAAAATTTAAAAAAAAAATAAAACAAGAATACTGGCTACTGACTAAGTCTCTCAAACTAAGCTAAAATATTGTTATTCTATAAGGAAAAGTAATAAAAATCCATTTTTAGTCTCAATGATCATGACCTTGACCCCATGGACTTCATTCCCCTTGAAATAGAAGATGTCTAGGATATTAAATTGTTAAACATTCAAGATATCGATAAATAAATGAAGGCTTTATTTTTATGAAAAGTAGATAAAGCTATATTTAGCACCAATGACCTTGACCTCATCGTCCTCAGGCCTTAGATGGCCTAGCAAAAACTGATTTTGACTTGTCAGTTTTCATCTGAAGCATTCCTTAACTTTTATAAAGTTAATTCATGAAATTTTATACTAATGTTCATGGGACAACCAGGGCAATACGTACAATTGATTTTGCCATCCCTGCAGGCCCTACCCATAGGTATAAGTTTATGCAAGGTACAGTGAATTTAAATATACAGCTAAGATATTAAATCAGTAAGTGATGTTTTAAGAAATGAGAAACAAGGTAAGTCAGACCAATCACTATGATAATATTAATTATACTTCACAGAAATTTAGGATGCCAAAAATAAAACCATCAAAGAAACAAGCATAAGAGGTATGCCAAGACAATGTCAGTCTCTCCAATTTCTTACTGGTTGCTAATTAATTCATTAAGCTTAAATTACCAGATGCACTCACTGCTAAGAGGAGTAAAAAATCTACTGAATTATCCAATACACACAGCAACCCAGGTTTTTTAACCTAAGTTTTGATTAACATAATATATATTTTGTACATAAAGAAGCAAACTTTACAGTCTAGTATTGGGAAATCAGAAGATTTTTTTTAAAATAAAAAGGACTTTTCATTCCAGCACATGTGTTGTAAAATTTGTCTTGCTCAGTGAATAAATTAAGCCTTCGGTTTTAATTAGAATAAGGCAATTATTTCCAGCTTGAGATGTATCAAGAAAGCCTCAGTTGCACTAATATGACAATGCAATGTCACAGGCACAAGTTTACATTCGAACAGACCTAACTAACGAAGAAATCAGTTTAAGAATTATCTACCTCAAACTCTTGACTTAAAAATAATTAAGTAGATATCTTACAATATATAAGCTATAACACCTATTGACCAACAATCCACTTCTTTCCCATAAGGCATTTGAGCGAGAACTTCTGGAGCTGTAAAAGATTGATTATAGTTATTAAAACATAGAATCATAAGATAAACAAGAAACATGTCTGTCCACTGGACACAGATGCCCATGCCAATTTTGACATTTTTATGTTAAAGAACAACCTAGACCTAGATTTTGCCCTAATTGACACACACTCTGACCCTAGAATTGTTATCTGCCAAATTGTTTGTCAATATTTATGCCAAAGCTAGGTTTAACCTCAATGTGTGACCTTGACCTTGCAGGTTTTAACCGTGACCTTGCAGGACTAGATACTTGCACACAAATACATTGTCTTAACTTAAAGTGATCATGTACTTTTATTTATTTGGAAATCCCACACTGCAAGCAAGGGGCACAAGATCAAGCTGTACTTAAAAACTGTTTGACAAAATTAATACACTAAATTCACTCCCTTAGGCCTTACTGTGACCTTGACATTCCAGCTAGGGACCTGGATCTAACATGTGACAAAAAGTCTATTTAAGACAGAGACATATAAATATGGTGTATAGAGTTATGGAAATCATGTTAACCAATTTATTTTGTAATTCCATCATGCATGTAAAAGATATGGACAGATACAAAGAAACTGAAATTATGCACATATCGAAAAGATAGACACAATATGCCCCCGTGCCAATACATTACTAGTAAAGTGATTAAAATTCTTTTTGATTCGTTTTAAGCATAGATATTTAAGTATAAATAGACCAATCAAACCATATCTAACAAAGAAGAAGAGTTTTTATATTCACTGAAACCATTTACAGTGTATGGCTTATAGATGGCAGGGTTAATTGACACCATACATTCTACATGTATGTAGAGTAAAGGTAAATCATTTAAAATGCAAGCAAACAAGAGCAAAACTAGAAATGTGTCCATAGGACACTGATGCCCCCACACGCCACTGTTCTGTCAATCTTATGACTCTAGGTCAAATATTTTTTGGACTACATGTGCCACAAGTTGAAAACTAAAAATCAACAAAGGGCCATAATTCTGTTAAATTTGGTCGCAGCAAAAAATCCTTCCTTTACTACGATCTACACATTAAGGTTGTTAATCCCCGGAAGTTTAAGCAAAATCTGCCATCCGGTTTAAGAGGAGTTGCGTTCACAAAATTTCTACATAGTATAAAGTGAAAAAATCAACAAAGGGCCATAATTCTGTAAAATTTGGTCGCAGCGAAAATTCCTTCCTTTACTACCATCTACACATTAAGGTTGTTCATCCCTGTAAGTTTAAGCAAAATCTGCCATCCGGTTTAAGAGGAGTTGCGTTCACAAAGTTTCTACATAGTATATAGTGAAAAAATCAACAAAGGGCCATAATTCTGTAAAATTTGGTCGCAGCGAAAATTCCTTCCTTTACTGCCATCTACACATTAAGGTTGTTCATCCCTGTAAGTTTAAGCAAAATCTGCCATCCGGTTTAAGAGGAGTTGCGTTCACAAAATTTCTACATAGTATCTAGTGAAAAAATCAACAAAGGGCCATAATTCTGTTAAATTTGGTCGCAGCGAAAATTCCTTCCTTTACTACCATCTACACATTAAGGTTGTTCATCCCTGTAAGTTTAAGCAAAATCTGCCATCCGGTTTAAGAGGAGTTGCGTTCACAAAATTTCTACATAGTATCTAGTGAAAAAATCAACAAAGGGCCATAATTCTGTTAAATTTGGTCGCAGCGAAAATTCCTTCCTTTACTACCATCTACACATTAAGGTTGTTCATCCCTGTAAGTTTAAGCAAAATCTGCCATCCGGTTTAAGAGGAGTTGCGTTCACAAGATTTCGGGACGTACGGACGGACTGATGGACGGACTGACGGAATGACGGACGGACGGACAAGTGCAATGCTATATGCTCCCACATTGTGGGGGCATAAAAAGACTTTTTTACATGTAAGCCAAGGTGAACAGTTGTGCCAAATTATATTAAAAGCCATCAATGCATGAAGAAGTTTTGCTTCCAACAAGCAATTTCCCTTGACCTCTAAGTGTGAACTTGACCTTTGACCTACAGACCTGGTTCATATGCTTGACAAAACATCTTGTAGTGGTAAGTATCTTAACTAGTGATACTAAAACCTGTCTGCATGTAGGAGAATCATGTCAGCAAATCTTGACACATCCTGAGACAAAGCCAACCACCCTGCCTGAGTGCCAATCTCAATATATATCCCTTTTTTAAACAGGCATATCAAAAGCAATATCAATTCTACTTAAAATCACTATGAAATTCTTCCTAACCTTATTTTACAAAATATTTTAGATTCAATCATTCAAGAAGGTAACTAAATAAGTAAAGTTTGTACAAAGATTTATGGATAAAAAACTTTAAAATAACAATCTATTATGTAAAATTGTATTCTATTAGATTAAAACACAATTTTATAACAAAATGTAAGGAATATTATTGAAGGCAAGCAAGCCTTTATTAAATATTGTTGACATATTTAGTAAGTTATACATAATATAATGTCCAATATTAGACAAAAAAAAGCTGCTATTTTCTCCAATTAGTGACATCTATTTCCTCTTAGTAACTTGGTATTGATTATAACAATTGTAAGAGTGAACTTTTGCTGGCAAAATCTTAGCTAAATGATGGGAGTGGCTAATTGAAAATTAATTAAAATTCATAATTTTGTCTTACTAAAAATCACTCAAATAACTTCCTTTTAACATAGAATGAAGGATAAACAGTGGAATCTGTTACGTGTAGAACACAAAATGTAAAACTCTTGAAACTTGTGGTTTAAACTCACTAGTATAAAAACTGAAATATGCCGTATCATGCTTTAAGAAAACCATATTAACACTGGTTATCGGGCCCTGACAGTACTCAAAGCAGGCCATCATATCAATACAACCAATTTAAAAGTCATAAAATGGTTTTCTTTGCCCAACAATATTTTTCACTGTGAAAATGAATCAGGAAATAAAGAAAAACATGATCTTCATAATACAGTCAACTCTGCTTATAACGAACTCAATAGGACATTTAAATATAGTTTGTTATATCAAAAGTTCGCTAAAAGCAAAGAAGCAAGAACTTGCTGACTTGTACTTGCTGACTTGTTTGGGTGTGCAAATTTGCTGTCAAAACCTTTATTCCCTTAAGCCATAGCTTACGAATTAAGCAATGTTATTTAATATAAAATAAGAAGGTATCGACTGGCGATATCAGATTCAGTAGTTCGCTATAAACGATAATTCGTTATAAGCGAGTTCATTATATGTGGAGTCGACTGTATAAGCAGATTTAATATGACTGTTAAAAACAGGTGTGACTGTATAATGTAAATGAAAATCTTACCAACATAACCAGGTGTACCACAAGCTGTTGCCATGGTTCCTGAATCTTCAATTTTTGACAATCCAAAATCACTAATCATAATCTTAGAAGACTCACAATTACTGTAGTACAGTAAATTTTCTGGCTGCAAAGAAAAAAAACAGCAGAATAACAGACAAGTCATGCTCTGTAAGTATTGTAAGAAACAAATGCACAAAGTTTTACAAATCTAAAACTAAAATCTAAATCAATGATTTAGCCTCACACAAAATCTTTGGACAGAAGATCAAAGTGTTGTCTATTAATTGTATTAATTGGTCAGACAATAATAACTAGATATGTTTGTAAAACATGTATGCCCCCTATGGGCAGCCAATTAGTCATGTGATCAGGTTATTATGCATGACTTCTGACCCAGTAAACAAAAAATTAATAAGGGTTATCTACTTGTAATGACTAGTCACAAGGTAATAATTATTGTGACCGCAGCAATTTAAGTTATTACAAATCTTACCAAATAAAATATGCATAAATTTTATGAATCTTGTAGGCCTCATTATTGACAACCAAGTTGTTATATTACATAAGACCTTCAAATGTGTATACCAAAAGAATTTTTAGTTTAATATAAAAATATCAACAAAGGCAACTTGACTTGCTGAGTTATTGGTCAGAAACCATCTTAAAGTACAAGGTCAATTTGACACTGACCCCTTGACCCCAAAATCAATAGGGGTCATCTACTGGTCATGACCAATCATCATATAAAGTTTAAAGTTCCTAGGCCTAAGTGTTCTTTAGTTATTGATCGGAAAACGTTTTTACTGACAAAGTGAATGTGTCCTTGACCTTTGACCCCAAAATCAATAGGGGTCATCTACTGGTCATGGCCAATCATCATATAAAGTTTGAAGTTCCTAGACCTAAGCATTCTTTAATTATTTATCTGAAACCATTTTTACTTACAAGGTCAATGTGACCTTGATCTTTGACCCCAAAATCTAGAGGGGTCATCTACTGATCATAACCAATCATCATACCAAGTTTGAAGTTCCTAGGCCTAAGCGTCCTTAAGGTATAGAGTGGAAACCATTTTCAACTTCAAGTTAATGTGACCTTGACCTTTGACCCCTTGACCTCAATATCAATATGGTTCATCTGCTGGTCATGACCAATCATCATACCAAGTTTGAAGTTCCTAGGCGTAAGCGTTCTTATGTTATTGATCGGAAACCGTTTTTACCTACAAGGACAATGTGACCTTGACTTTTGACCCCAAAATCAATAGGGGTCATCTACTGGTCATGACCAATCACCATACCAAGTTGGAAGTTCCAAGGCCTAAGCATTCTTTAGTTATTGAAGGGAAACCGTTTTATCCTACAAGGTCAATGTGACCTTGACCTTTGACCCCAAAATCAATAGGGGTCATCTACTGGTCATGACCAATCATCATACTAAGTTTGAAGTTCCTAGACCTAAGCGTTCTTTAGTTATTGATCGGAAACCGTTTTTACCTATAAGGTCAATGTGACCTTGACCTTTGACCCCTTGACCCCAAAATCAATAGGGGTCATCTACTGGTCATGACCAATCACCACACCAAGTTTAAAGTTCCTAGGCCTAAGTGTTCTTTAGTTATTGATCGGAAACTGTTTTTACCTTCAAGGTCAATGTGACCTTGACCTTTGACCCCTTGACCCCAAAATCAATAGGGGTCATCTGCTGGTCATGACCAATCACCACACCAAGTTTGAAGTTCCTAGACCTAAGCGTTCTTTAGTTATTGATCGGAAACCGTTTTTACCTACAAAGTCAATGTGACTTTGACCTTTGACCCCTTGACCCCAAAATCAATAGGGGTCATCTACTGGTCATGACCAATCACCACACCAAGTTTAAAGTTCCTAGGCCTAAACGTTCTTTAGTTATTGATCAGAAACTGTTTTTCCCTTCAAGGTCAATGTGACCTTGATCTTTGATCCCTTGACCCCAAAATCAATAGGGGTCATCTACTGGTCATGACCAATCACCATAACAAGTTTGAAGTTCCTAGGCCTAAGGGTTCTTTAGTTATCACTCGGAAACCATTTGGTCTACAGACCGACAGACCAACGGACCGACAAATGCAAGCAATATACCCCCTCTTCTTTGAAGTGGGGGCATAATAATTATCTACCAATACTATGGTTTGACTGTAAATCATCTACTTAAGATTTGTCTTTAACTTACTTCTGTTATTGCTAACTCTATGTATTTCAATGTTTGACTTAAATCATCAAATTCAATCACAAACTAAATTAGCCGCACCATTACAAAACCAACATAGTGTGTTAAATGCGTCCAGCATGGATCCAGACCAGCCTGTGAATCCGTGCAGTCTGATCAGGATCCATGCTGTTTGCTATCATTTTCTCTATTTGTAATAGGGTCAATGTAAGCGAACAGCATGGATAGTGATCAGACTATGCGGATGCGCAGGCTGGTCTGGATCCATGCTGGTCGCAAACGCATTATGTTGGCTTTGTCATGCCGCGGCTCAAATGCTTTATAGGAGAAGAATTCTATATGACTCATCTTTCGTTCTCATTGTTTTCCATTCTGTGTAAATTATTGTTTGTTGTCTATATGTAATAATGTACATTTTATATACTTTTTAGATGCTTTTTAGATATTTTCTGACTTGATTTTAATTTACCTATTTCTTAGTTTGACTGGTTATATTATGACTGATTATTAAGTTTTTACCTTAAATAATACACATTATCATGTCCACATACAAAATTTGTCTATATATGCATTTATCTTATATTCCAGATTAAGCGAATTGTAATCTAGAATCATCATCATATTTTAAGGGGGCTTATTTAAGCATTTATCTAGAAAGAATATATCACCACCTACTTGTGGTTTTCTCTATTTCATTATTGTCTGCTTTAATACACCTGAGTCTTCACATCACTTTACATAATTTATAACCTTTTTAACAAACTTCCCTTATTCCCGAATTCCAGTGACATTTCAAAAACTTTTTTTTCATAAATTATAAAAGTACCTTTAATGTCATACCTTTGAAATCCATTTAACAATAAGATAACATCATAAGGAATAAAAACTTGTTACTGTAAGAATTAAGTCAATTTTGATGTTAACATGATTTTGGAATGAACCAAAATGTATGTAAGAAGGAAAACCTTCAAGAATGTCCAAAATTAAATTGCAACATTAAAATTATCTCAGACTTAAGTATGCTCATGTACAGTGGTAGTATATGCATGACCTCTAGCATTTAGAGGCTTCAGAAGTACGCATCACTGTAATAATGACCTTATAATTTAGAAACAACTGTATAAACTTGATACTTCAAGCTGTATGTAAAATCACAAGACAAAGTTCTACAATTCTTCACTGAACTTTGACATAAGTTATTGCCCCAGTTTTACATAGAAAATGTTCTGAATTTCCAGTAGTACTTGAATATTCCTGAAACCAGAACATATATTTATTTGAAATGCAAGCAACAGTTCAGCCTCTAAAAACCTCTTTATTGCTATAATTGAAGATGCCTCAGTAGGGGTATGAATCACATTCAATAATATGACTAGTTTATGTAACATAGAACTGTTTCAATTACATTAATCAAATTTGGTAGGAAGTTTAATCAGAGAACTGGCTAATATATTACCATGGGAAATCTTGTTTTGTGGAAACTATATAAATCTTACTTATTATTTCTCATTGTTGCAACATATTTGTTATAGTGTCGACAGAATGATTCTGAAGTAAGTCTACATATACAGTGTAAAGGCAAATCTGCTTTATTTGGTATACTATTGAATGATTTTAATGCTTTCACATTGATTGATAGGTCAGTCACTGAGGCAATTAGTTTTTGTTCTGATAATGTATGTCTGTTTGCCTGTCTGCCAACACCACTTTAACTATTATTCTGGGAGTTTAATTCACTCTTGCACACAATTGATATCGCTGGACAATTTTGTTTTTCATTTTTACTTATGAAAATAAATAATTTGAAGACTTCTACTGACAATAAGGGCACAATGTCAAAGTAGTGTAGAATCTTTTTCTAATCTTTAACTTGTTCTGATTGTTTTTTTCTTCCCCCCACCCCATTTAAGTATTGTACATCTTACATCACTTACTTTGGGAGTTTTATACACTGACATGTTCATCTTTTGTTTACAGTACCTGACTGCTTTTTTTAAAAATAACTTTAGTTTTGTTGTTAACAGACTAAATTCCTCTCTTATTCTTCAAAAAAAATAGTTCAAAATTCCCCTACCTGAGGGTCCCCGAGTCTGAGTCCCCTACAAGGTTATTTAGGGCCCCGAGAATATTCTGACACATATCCAGAGTAAGTACATAATGTATGTAATGCAAGCTTTACATGTAGCTTATAACATCTTTATGCTATATATATTACTTTTATGCCATACATATAAGCCTTATGGTATGTAGACGCTTTCAAATATTCAAATTTGCATTCAACTGTATATATGAGCTTTCAGGTGTACATGTGAGCCTTAAGCTATACATATGAGATTAAAGCTGAACAGATAAGCTTTAAGCTATACATAGCTTAATCAGTTCAACTTGACAAAGAAAATTAGAATAATGTAATTTAATGTAACTTTGCTCATGCATTTGCTCCTTATGACTTGAAAAGTATATGAGAAACATGCTCAGTTTGATATAAAAATATATGAATCTCAAATTAATTTATCACTAGAGAACGTAATCATAATCCCATGAAATATTAGATTTGAAATGTCACGATTTCTCTGCAAATGTCTAATATAGTGAAATAAACCTGATGCTTAGTATTTATTACAAAATCTTATTACATTAATTTTGCATTAAGTGAGAAAAACAAAACAAATGAGAGCAACAAGACATGTCACATAAGGTTTTATGGATATAAGAGATATTCTTAAAGTAGATGAAACATGTCTTGGAATTTAATTTCAATTTCTTCTTTTCCCTATAATTTTAACAGTTTAGTAAAATATGGAAATTCACAAACATTACTTTAGACAAAATCTTTACAGACTTTTATGATTTTAAGAGCACAAACAAATTCACTGAATCAATCATTATGCATCACCATTTTATACATTTAATCACTTGACTGAAGCTTCTTAGTATAATATAGTTAAGTATCTCAGAGCAAAAGATTATAATAGCTCCAAAATTATACAAAAAGAGTTATAGTTCTTGAGCATAGCACTCCTGTAAATTAGATCTATCTGTGAAGTGTACAGTATAGCAGAAATGATAAGTTTATTCCTCAGAATACATTTGGTGAGTTACATACTCCAGACAAATAATAAGTATGAAACAGGATAAAAGACAGACGGACAGACAGAAGAAAGCTGGATGAACGATGTAAAATCTTAATCATTCTGCTTTTGGTATCAATTACTCTTGCAGCATGATATATAGATGATATTACATACTAAATTTCAGAGATCATGACAGAATGTTCATTTTCATATATATATTTATTTGAGCCACGTCACGACAAAACCAACATAATGGGTTTGTGACCAGCATGGACACAGACCAGCCTGCACATCCAAGCAGTCTGATCAGGATCCATGCTGTTTGCTATCAGTTTCTTTACTTGTAAATGGATCCTGATAGACTGTGCGGATGCGCAGGCTGGTTTGAGTCCATGCTGACCGCAAACCCAATATGTTGTTTTTGTCGTGACATGGCTCATTTATATTATTTATATTGTCACTGTATTAAATTTTATCCGTACTTTTTTGTTAGTTTTCAACATTTCAAAGGTTGTACTAAGTCAGGTTTTAATTTTTTCTAGTAAAGGGAAATCTCAAGTGACCTTCAAAGCATTTTTCAGATTAGAGGGGAACAGTAGTGATAGGCAATTATTTGTTGTCACTCTAAACACATGGTCACATTAGAGTGTTTATAAATGTCATTCAATGTGTTTTATAGCAGACGTTATAATATTGAACATTTCCTGTGTTTCTTATTTTCTGTATCACTTTTCTTTTCTAGTTGGATTGTATGACAAAAGACTCTTTATATTAATGCATTAGTGAAATAGCTTCATCTTTTCCTTATGTATATATATGCTGCATATATGTGAAACTGTGAAACATAAAATTAACATATCTTTCAATACAAGCTCAGAGCTCTTTCTAAGCTGAGTATTTGTGTAAATCCTAACACGTACCCCAATACTCAAATAAATTAAAACCTTACTTTTTGTTATAATCCAATTGTTTAAATAAATTACCCAATTCATTATTATGCCACATGCTTATCGGACTATCATAAACTTAAAGGGATACTCAGACAAAATAGTGACAAAAAGAAGAAAATGATTTTATGTACTGAAATCATGCCAAAATGACATTTTTTACATGTAAGTCCCAGCATGAATGTCTGTATAAATTCTATATATTTTGGATTTAAAGCGTTAAAACATCTATAATTATATGTTGAATGAAATCTAGACGCCAACAGAATCACTGAGTAGTTTTAAATTAAGTGACTTGAACAAATCCTGGAAGTTGCAATAACAGATATTGTGGATATTGTATGATTGAAACAAGTCTAAGTCATCCATTTTGTGATATCTGAATGCTCTAACCCGGCCCATGTGGTTCAAGTTAGGAAACCATCACTTTATTCTTTATAAGGAGATATGTTTTATTCCTGTGACTGTCTAGTGTATTTATTTTGAGGACATTTACAGTATAATGTATGAAAAGTTCAAAACGAAGAAATGAACATTTTGCATGTGTCTCCCATTAAACAATCCTGATAGATTTTAGTCATTCTTGAAAACAAAACTTCCAGTATAAACTTAACAAAATTAGCAAATTATTACAGTTTTACATGTACTTTTCATTTCGTATTTTGATGCAATCTGTGTCAAGTAAAAGCATGATGCAGCGTTTCATCCTAATCGATAGTTTGACAGTTGATAGTGTTAAAACACAACATCGTCAACATCGAATATTGAAATTTTAAACATCATACATTTCAAAGTGATTAAAACGTGGGACATAATATGATGCTATAATGTATGCCCCACTTGAACATTTTTGGAAAAGAAATCATCAATAAAGCAACTCTTATCCAATCTGCTATTGTTAAGGATCTTGTTAATGATACAATTCCTTTTCTTAATAGCTCTAGTCAATGAAGAAGAATTTTACTATAAACCTCAGATATACAAAATTTGTACATAGGTAAACAAAACTAAAACTTTAACTTTAGTGTGGGTAAGTAGTTTATATTCAATTGGGAAGAAAATCTTCCCAGGTATTAATTTCCTGATTTAAAACTTTGAAATATCAGTGTAAAAATTGCATTAATACTCTTCTGAAAATTTGAAATACCCAGGTATATATTGCCCATTTACCTCTGAAAGCTTATCTGAAGCTCTGAATTTTCAAGCCGAGAAGTAACAGACACAATCAATTAGTTTGTAAAAACATTTCTTTTTTATCTATTAACAACAAAAATATCATTATTGAGTGCTCATATTATGAACAAGAACTTAATGAAATAATCAAATGCTTTGCTTATGTCATGCATGTATGTGTTGACTGTCATTAATTGGCTTATATACCGGTAAACTTCACACTGACTCTGTAATATATGCTTATATAAACTTTAAATTCCAAGCAGTGTCATATCTGCTTATATAAAAGACTCCAAACTCTGCCATATTAGCTTATATATCATAAAACTGACAAAATTCATTATGCTTATATGAAATACTCAAAGCTCTTTCATACTCCAAGCTCTGTCAAAAAATGCTTATATATACCTAAATCTCTAAGCTATGCTATGCCATATTTACATAATTATATTAACTTAATATTTCAAAAGCAAACCTTTAAATCTCGATGTACAATGCCTTTATCATGCATATAGTCCACAGCCTCTAAAACCTGTTTTATAAGGAGACTAGCATCCCGTTCTGTGTAGCTGCCTTTCTCGACTATACGATCAAATAACTCCCCACCTGTCACACTGAAAACATATTTGCATGGCACTCATATCTAAGTGAATTATAGGTGTATAAAGGTATCAGGCACCAAAACATCTATTCTTCAAAATTTTTAAATCACTATATATAGTTTATAGTTTCATGTTACGATCACTGGCTCACTTTTTTTACCCCAGACCTTGAGGTTATAACACTTTTTCCTGAGTTCTGTCTTGAATCTCAGGATTTTCATTGGTCAGTGTACATCATGTGGCAGTTTCTGACCAATCAAATACCTGAGATGTGAGTTTGAGCTTAGATAATTGCTTTATAACCTCAGACCTTGGTCATTAGGCTACCTATAAACTCCATCTATTGATCTCATTGGACCTTTACACTCTACTGATAGCAGCCCATAGAATTATATGGAATCTTGCTGTATAATATATAATGTATCTCGATCTTGTTCAGCAGACAAGAACATGATGTTGTGGTTCGGATCGAAATATCCGTCTCCAATGGACCCGCCTATGGGTGTGTTCCCAAAAAATGGATATTTCAATCCGAACCACAAACACATGTCAGATATTTTTTCTAGCATATTCTACTGTATTGCATTATATTTCGAATTCTTTACCTTAATTATACAATTTTTCATGGAAAGTTTGGCCATTACACCGAAAATATTTTCTTACAACTATGCATGAAATTACAACTTCACTCATAAAGCAAAAATTAAATCATCCTAAGCTTGCCATTGTATAGCACATTGACTTATCTGGCACCCCCAATGCTTCATGATGCACTGTCATATTATTGAGTTTCAATGTTATCTTTAAGGTATGCTAATTTTCAAGTTATTATAATGACCATAAACAAAGTCTTTAACGAAAACTGATTAACAAACACCTATGTGAACACCAACTCTGCCAAATGGAGCTAAAAATGATCAAATCACAAAACTCTGACAATATGCATTAAGGAACTTTGTGACAATACTTTTGTGAAAATTTGATTGACATCTGTTGAGAAATGTAGGAGAGCTTAAGCACAGAAAAAAATTAATTACGCCTGCCGACATTCACCAATCTAATAACCAGCATTTTCTTTCAGAAAACCTGATTAATTACCATTGTCAAATTGGCAGATACAAATGAAATTTCATCAAATGGATAGATCTACTTGTTTTAGATAACATAATAATAGATGTTTTCAACAGTATCCCCCATTTTCTACAAAGACAAAAGAGTAAAATTTATACTAAGTAGCACAGAAAATTTTCTGAAACTTTCCATCATGAAAGGATAATTGAAACAAACTTATGAAAAAACATGGGTCGTTAAGCTACTTTTTGAGTTATCTGCTTCTTAAATTGAGATTTTGCTCTTTTATATTGACACTAGGTCATTTTCAGGAGCAGATAACTCAAGCAGCCCCAAATATGCATTTGATACCTCGACTATCCCTGTCTTTAGTGAATTACTTGCTTAAAGCTCTGTACAAAAGACTTTTCTCTACTAAGCTTGTTTAAGTGAAATTTTCTTCTAGTTATGCCCCATTTTTTCAAAGCCAGTTCTGCTTCATTTTTCTAAGAAAAATGCAAAATGTTTACTCATTATAGCCTCAGTGATTGTCTGATGGGTGAAATCGTTTAAAACTGCAAAATGCTGAATATGAAAACATTAAAACAAGAGCCACTACCAAGCAGGGGCCACACTCAACTTTTTCTTATTTATGGTCATCATAGATATGGCAAATTGTAGTAAAATACACTTATTTGACCTTTAGTGTCAAGGTAAAATTAAGGTCATGGTCAAGTTCAATTTAATCTTTTTAATGACCTGTCCCAAGGATTGTTCTTTCCAAGTTTGAAGACAATGCATTTATTACTTACAAAGTTACAGTCAATTAAAGCAAAGAACATTACAATCACTTGATCTTAGACAAATAATTGTCCTTAAGGTAGTTTTGCTCAAGTATATAACAAACAATAAAGTGATTACCAATTACAGCAAATATTAAGTGATCTTCAAGGTCAAGGTCATTGATAAGTGAAGGTTATAATCAATTTGATCAACTGATAGGAATTGTGGCATCCAAGTATGAAGACAATCCATTTTTAAATAACAATGTTCTAGCCAATTGAAGCAAAAATCAAGCAAAAATTAAACATTTTACCTTGAATGTCAAGGTCATTCATGAGATTATTAAAGGTCAAGTTCAGTCTTGTCACCTTAAAGGTATTGTCTAAAATGTTTTTGTGTCCAGATATGAAGGCAATCCATTGAGAAATATAAAAAAATATGACTAACATAAAAGTTTTCTGACAAACAACAACAACAGCATCTGCAACAGAAAAGGCAACTAACTGAAGCAATAACTGTATTCTTACTCTTCAAAAAGTCAAGCTAATAATGTGAAATATCATTACATTTTAGTATGCATGTTTTTGAGTCAGTGACCTAGAAGGAAAATATTTTAAGAACTCACTTTCAGATGCAGGCATATTGGAAATTTATACTCATACAGTAATCATTTGCTACAAATATGAGATATACTTACAGTTCCATGACTAGGTAAACATAGTTCTTATCCTCAAACACATCTGTTAATCTTACAATATTCGGATGGTTTAATCTGCAAATAGAAAGAGTACATCTTGTAAAATTTGTTTTTAAGATACCTTGACCTCAATCTGACTTCAGTTATATAGCATGGTACAGTGTCAAAAAGGTAGTGAATGGCCTTGACCTTTGGTATGTAGAACATTCAGCAATTTTTAAGAAGTAATGCAATGTTATATATTCAAACTCTTGATCATAAACCATTTTCACTAACATCCAACTATTACCTTCACCTTTGACATGAATACATCTAACTGTCACCTTGACCTTTGACATGAAAATAATAACTGCTTTTCATCAGCATGGCCACTAATTATATCATTAAGTTTTTTTCAGTTATCAAGCAGAGAGAGAATGACAAATTAACAGTATGGATATGACTGAAATGGTCCTCCTCAGTAATAAGCTGCTTTCTATCACATTTTAGACACATATTCTGTTCCCATTATCCAACAAGAACTACAAATCACCAACAAGCTCACAACAATGCAATTGCAAACCAGGATTTAATCAAGCAATCTAACAATTCCTTCCCAAGGTTACCTTGGTTTATAACAAATTTATTTTAATTCAGGCTTTATGTTTATCCTAATCATCTATTACACAATGTTTTGAGCATTTGTATTACATTCTACACTACCACAGGCAAAGATAAAGCGTAAAATACTTGATAATTGGCAAATTGTTCTCCAGTAAAAGCAATTTTAATGAAAAACAATCACCAATTTGTTCTAGTTCCTCTATCATTTCACTGTAAATTAGAATCACTCTCCTTAGTCAAAATTTGATCAGCATGAAAAATGAGTATGCTTGAAACAGTCTATCAGATACTGTAATCAGTTAAATTGACAAACTGAATGGAATCAAATTAAAAAGAAAATTCGACTAAGCATCAATAACTTACAAGCACTGGGATTCAAATTTTTCACAATTCTGTTTCTTGTGCATTTTAAACAAAACAGTCTCATTTGCAAAGTTGACATAAAATACTGACCCATATTGTTTAAAGGTGAAATTAACAGAGTCTAGATATTAGCTTTTTTTACCTTTCAGAGCCTTAAAAAAACTGTAAACAATTTATATATTAATAGTCTGATTCCTGCATTTTTACAGGAACCATAAATTTGTGCATATAGGAAACAAACAGGTACAAACATTTTACAATTGAGGTTGGTACTTATGTGTCAAGTTCAATTATTTAATGTCACTGATAAACTCTCAAAGAGTTTGAAGTTAGTCCAGACCAGATCGGACAAATACACGCACAGTCACACACCAAACTTCCATTTGACAAGTAACATCAAATGCCAAATAAAATACATTACGTTTAAGTATAAACTGCAATCTACATTACAGTTAAACAACACCTTTGATGGAATCTCATAGCCTTTTAAATTTAGGTTTATTCTTCACACAAGCTGACTTAATTAAGATGGTTGTCCCAGCACTGAATGATTTAACAACACATGCTGAATAAGGTGCATTGAAAGCGCCCAATTGTTCCGATAGGAACAAAATGAGGGGAAATGATTTTCTTCTAATGCATTTCATTTGAACAAAGAAAATCTTATGATTTAATGGGCTTGAAATGTAGATAAAAGTGATATTGACAGTAACATTAAACTTCAATACCAGGAAGGTCCTGCCTGCGGCTTAGTGGCGTAAGTTCTATAAGACCTCAAATGTAAGTTTCGCAAATATACAGTTTAATATAATTTGACATCACACTTCTCTCAGTTTAAATAGTTTAAACATTATTTGTTTTGGCTTGATAATGTCAAGGAAGCATATAATGCTTGCTTGAACCCTGAGACTTGGGCTCAAGACAGGGTAGTGACCCAGTACTGTGCTCGATCGAACCCAAAATCCCTTGGTGGCAAGGCTGCCAGATACACTTAGCCTGTTATAATAACCATCGGCTGGGAATCTCAATATTGATTAATATGATATTTACACTTTGCAATGGGCAGGCTTTAAGTGACCTTATGCCCATCCAATGATATAAAGTAAGTGGTAACAGGTAAAACTAAGAAATAAGAAAATATTGAGTTAACTTTTTGCCATAATTTGTTTCATTTTTTTTCATTAATTTCACATGAACTGAATAAACAACTCGCATGACACAAGGAAATTTCTGTAAATATCTATAAGTTAAATTTAAACAAGAGCTGTCACAGGAGACAGCGAAGCTCGACTAATAAAATACTGGACGCAGTAAGGAGGACAAAACTATGAAAGAAAAATCCATTATGTATAATTATATATTAAGTTATAGAAAAAAAATAACATTTGTTAACATTAATTCCAAGATCAAGGGGAATAATTCTAGAAATAGTCATGCTAGAGTTATGGACCTTGTCACACAACATTTGTGTAATGATAAGAAATATATATTTGAAGTTTGAAGTAGATACCTTAAAAAGTAAAGAAGTTATTATATTTCTTAAAGAAAATCCTAAGTTCAAAGACAGATAAATGTGTAAATATTGCTTCAAGAGTTATGAACATTGTCACCTAAAATGTAATTGATGATAAGGAATAAGTATTTGAAGTTTGAGGTAGATACCTTTAAAAATAAAAAAGTTATAATAAAAAATAACATTTTTCTAGTAAAAAAATCTAAGTTTATGGAGAGATAATTCTTGCAATATTGGTGCTAGAGTTATGAACCTTGTCACATAAGATGTGGATGATGATAACGTAAATATATTTGAAGTATGAAGTTGATCCCTTTAGAAATAAACAAGTAACAGTAAAAAATAATATTTTTTATGGAAAATTCTAAGTTCAAAGGGAGATAAATCTAAAAATATTGGTGCTAGAGTTATCAACCTTGTCACATAAGATGGGGATGATGATAACGTAAATATATTTGAAGTATGAGGTTGATCCCTTAAGAAATAAAGAAGAAACAGTAAGAAATAGTATTTTTTGAGGAAAATTCTAAGTTCAAGGGGAGATAAATCTGAAAATATTGGTGCTAGAGTTATGAACCTTGTCACATAAGATGTGGTTGATGATAAGGAACAATTATTTGAAGTTTGAAGTTGATACCTTAAGAAATGACAAAGTTATAGTGAAAAATATTTTACTGCACCAAAACTTTAATCTAAAATCTGGACGCGGACGCCGACGCCGGGGCGAGTAGGACAGCTCTCCATATACTTCGTATAGTCGAGCTAAAAACAAGTGGAGTCGCCTTATTATACTCAAGGCAGATAAATATTTTATTCAAAATGTTTTTCAGTATAATCAACTGGTTGTCAATCATCATGATAAGAGTCAATCTCTTGAAATATATACTCAATTTAGCTGGTCAACTTGACAATGACAAAATAGGCACAATGTCACTTTCAACTTTAAAGTAGGACAAATTCAGTACTAAATAAAAACTGTTTTACATTATCATCTCATTAAAAAGTAATATATTTCACAATTTATAGAAGAAAAAAAATTGTAATATTATTATATAACATTATGACAATTGATTTTCTATAAAAATAACTACAAATTCTATAAATGAAATATTATACTATCATAGACACCAAGAAATTTCTCGCCAGAGTCTGCAAGATATCAATAATAGTGTGCTTATAATTCAAGATGAAATGAACAAGGAAAATATATATTACTGATTTCACATTTGACATTTCAGGGGAATAGAGGTACTGTATTAGATAAATAGATTGGTATAGGTAATATCATTCATCAGTGACAACAATGTATTCCCAAGGTGATGTTCTTACTAACACCTATATGGTATTACAAAATGTCAAAGTGTGAACCCTGCAACAATTGCGATATAAGGGTAAGTGTGCTAGTAAGTATAATGAGAAATAACACTCTATAACAGGGTTGTTATTTTGTTGTTGTTATGTTGTTTTTAAGGGAGGGAGGGAGGGGGTGGGGATACTGGGTTTTACATTGTTGCCTCTTTAAATAAAGTCTTTATTATTATTATTATTATTATTGTTATGACACAGTAAAAATCAATACACTGACTTTGATAATTAATCTTACTGCCAAAGCAATACCAAAGATGCCAACCCATGTATTATTTCAGAAATGAGCAAAACTTCTATAAGCTATCTGGATCCTTCCTCATAAAAAGGAATCAAGGTTAATTTATTTGTTACTCTGGTTTACTCACTAATTTTAATATATTTTTTTCTTAAATCCCGGCAATCAACCTTAAGCCAGCTTTTCATAATATTACTAACCAGTAATAACAAAATTCTTTGCAAGTGACTGGCTATTTAACGCATATAATTTTTAAATCAGTTAGAGAGAGACAAATGACCAAATTTTGTCTAAATGAAGTCAATTAATGATTTAATCAGAAATTACGCCTGTCCGAAAAATGATCCATTCACCGCTGGATAACTTAAATCCAATGCTCTCTCTATTGAGCTCAAGCAAGTATCAGGATTCAAACCTTGTACAGCTGAGGAGCTACTGATCTGGCATCACCTACATAACCAACTGGCCATGCATGGAGACCAGGGTTGTACTATGAATATAATGAGAAAAACATTAAGATGTAACAATTTCACTTTAAGAGTGCTGCTTGTAAATGAAAGTTCCTGAAATTAATGAGAATACAGGTCTTACTATTTAAGTTGAACAGAATGACTAAGCAAGATTTCAGCTACTTAACATTTAATATACACTTTTTTTTGCTTGTATCTCAGAAGAATCATGCCTGAAGTATCTAATATCCAACTGCCAAAAAAAAACAACCTCAGCTTTGTCGACAGGAAATTAACTTTGGTCAAATGTCACCAAAATGTCACCAATCACTTTATGTGACTTCTCAGAACATATTCCTAGCATTCTGAGAACAATCAAATCAAATCTTCCTTGTATAAAGACAATAATCATTACACCAATATATTAGGAAATATATTTGGAAGTCAAAGCTAAAATAGATTATTGAGCTTGATGCTATTGAATAACAATATATCTTGTTATAGATATGTTTCTATAAGTTAACATGACATAAAAACATCTGTC